GGGGTTGGGTTTAGACAGGGTGCTGGAGCTGGGGCTGGGGTTTGTATTCGGGATGCAGTTGTCTTTGGGCCGGACGGGGAGGGTGGACAGCAGCCGGGGAACATGCGGGACTCCGCGGGCAGCGAGGGACCACCCTTCTCGGTGGAGGGGCAGTGAGGCTGCTGGCAGCCCGTCCAAGCAACCTGGTTGCCTCTGTCCACACTGTAGCCCCGAGCACCTCAGATGTAAGCGTCTGCACTCTGGAAAAGCACTAATGTAGCAAATCATTTAAGCCCCCCCCCCTCCCCCCCTTTTTTTTAAAGGAAATACAGCAGTCCATACGTGGGTACGTACACACACAGTTTAACTTTCTTTGTGAACAGGTGACTTCACATTTTCAGAGATGGAAAGTCGTGCTTGCTCAAGAGATTGCTGAAGCTGTAACTGCCATTTTCTAGGTAAGCGATAAATTCAGCATGCAGAAATACATGATTCACCCCAGAATGGTATTCTCAAGCCCAAAGGCTTGAGAATATACCTGTTTCAATTTAGATAAGAAAATGGAGAAAAGTCTCAAGTTTATTTCTACCTTGACAGAACATATGTATTCAGGTACACAAAAGGTGGCTGTATGTGTACAAATATATTTTGTGAAAATAGGTATTAAAGTCCAACTGTAAAGATAGGTTAAGCACACACCACTCTAATACAGCACACTGTGTACAGTATTTTACAAGTAGATAATAAAAATGTGTCTTTGTTTCTTTCTGCAACTTCACTTGCTAGGAGTTTAATGCAGGGTGAAAATTAAAAAGAAAGTTTCAGCCTAGTTTGGAGTTGTTCATGAAATCTGAGAAATAGAGGTTGCACTTCAGTTTCTGTTGCTAGTTTTTTAAGAAATGTTATAAGACTAAAAATCACATCTGAAGATGAAATAGTCCTTTTATGGTCTCAGGAAAATGAAGGATAATCCTATCTGGTTTTATATAGGCATCTGAATATTGCAGTGGCAAACACGGCAACAATAAATACTGCATGAGGCTGTTACCTAATGGAAACTAGAGAAAACTGAGTTTGGGAGAACTGAGCTGATGTGGTAGGGAGTGTGCAGGGCTATCCCAAGCTGCTTGTTTGTTCTTTAGCTCAAAGGAACTGAACATCATGACCTTATAAAGCGGGGAGTTTCCCTAACCATTACGGTTGTATGCTTACTCAAGATCTGAGAATTCTACTCTTGAAAAAAAAAGAAGAAAAAAGCTAAAACTGGATTAAAAAGTGGGATTGATACCAAACCATGACTACCCCCATAATGCAATAAGATGTTGCAGTGTGCCTGCTCGTGACTGGACTAGCACGAAGGGTGTGGTTACAAGTCACATCATTCCTTGGATCGTGCCGTGTAGATATAACTAACATAGCAAATTATGACCCAGGGGTCCCTTCATGCAAAGCTCAAAACAGATATGTAATACTCCTCTTTAGTAAACTTTAAGAAAGATAAAAGCTTGTGTTTTCCTTATATGAAAAATTTGAGTTCATTGAAATATGTTTTTATTTTAAAATGAAAATATGTCTCACAATGATGTTCACAAAATCCTTTCTGATTTTTCTTAAAGTTTTATTCCAGTGTGATTATGAAGTAGCTAATTTAATGGTTGAAGCCTCAAAGCATACCATATTTCCTGAAAAATATCTCTTTCTTTCTTAGAGTTTTCTTTTCTTGGATGCCAGAATCAAGATCTGCGATGGATTCTGCAGCAGATTGTTTCAAAAAAGTAGTTCATAATGATGCGAATGAGAATTCTGGTAGTGACGATAGGGACAGTGAGTGTAGTGACAGTGAGAAAATAGGCTTCAGTCCAAAAAAGGGAGGTAGTGAGGAGGATGACACCAGTGACAAAGAAGAAGCAGCTGTTATGCAGATGCTTAAAGAAGAGGAATATAGAGAAAAAGAAGCCAAAGACCTAGATTACAGTAATGTTCATAGAATCTCGACCACTGTGGGGAGGACACGGCAGACATCACAAACTAAAGGCGATGATTTCAGTGTTCTCCAGCACAAATGTGATTCCCGAAGACCTGGTGAGGAACTGTTACTAGCTTATGCTTGTGTGTGTGTCTTTTATTGCAGTGTTTTACCTTTTGGCTCTTTTGTAATTAATTAATGAGTTATGGTTATATGGTTCTATCAGTAACCATGTATGCGATTATTTTAGAAGTAAGAAAACATTGTGAATTTCTGGAGAACTTGAGGCTACACATTTGGACATTCCTATCCAGAGCTCAGTAAGTACAGTGGGGTTCATGGAAACAAATGTAGTAAATGGTAATAAAAATAGTTTCTTCGATCTAAGTAGACATCACAGTGTAGTACTCCTTAGAGAAGGATGTGCTCATCACCTAGGTTTGTGGAAAACCAGGAGACATAAAGCATGCTTAGGATTCCATACTTCCTCCAGCACATGAAGGAGGATTCCTAATATAATAGAAAAAGTCTGCCCAAAGAGTAGAGATTGTCTGCAATTTTAACTATTTAACAATTTTGACTATTGCTCTTTATTCTTTTTCAAATTCTCTGTCATGCTTTTTTTGGGCATGTTTCCTCATGTTTTAAGGCTACATCATATATAAAACAGTTTTCCTGTGAAATTTTCCTTTTTATATATACCTTCTGTGTTTTGGCATGTGAGTTCTCATGCATTATCTTCTGCATCTCCAGATTCTGATTACTTGATATGGAAAAGGATTAGCAATAGTGCCATTCACTGTGACAATGAAGTTTTTTCTCTGCATTCTGGAGCTGACATGCTGAAGAGATTGTCATTAGGCAGACAATTTAAATGTGTAAACCAGAAGTTTATATCGTTTTTGTTCATGTAAGGCTACTCATTGCATCAGAGAAAAAAATGGGGTTATAAACTGGAGGCTGTTGATCCCAGCCAGAAAGGAAAGCTGGGTGTTCCAAAGTGTGCATCTAAGGTGATTGTGTATCAGGCATTTTTGATAGCCTTGAAGAAAACAAGTATGTTTTTATCATTAGAGTATGGATGTTCTCATAATATGCATTAGTATTGTAATAGGTAATAGACAGTGTAGTATGTAATAGGCAACATGGAAGCAGAGAACCTTTACTAGAAGTGCTTGCCTCTTCTTCATCTGGACTGGCAAAAGTTTTTCTGACTCCTTGTACTGTCCTGTGTGAAACATCATATCCTTGCACTTTTAATCGATTCTAAAAGAGCTGGAGAAGGCAGCCAATTGCTAGGACATATTCAAAACCACTGTGGTGCTGCCTGTTTATACTTGCCATCTTCAGTGAAGTGGATTTGTTTCAAATTTGACCTAAAACTGGCTAATGCAGACTTTATCGACTTTCATAGTTTTCTGAAATGGGAAGGGGATGAAGAAGTTTTTTTAATTCTTTGGCCTCTTGAAGAGATGTATTGTGACTGGATTCCTTTTGCTGTTAAGGTATTTTTCCTGCCATAGACATTGCTTGGATGAGGGAGGTAGTTGTCATTGTCATGATAGTTGTTGATAACCCACTTGCTAATTATAGCTGGAAGTTCGGGCAGGAAGGCTCTGTAAATATACTTTATGGTTATCACTTGTGGGGCATTTTTATAGAATGGATAACACCTTCTGCATAGCAGACATGGACAAGAGGTGCCACATAAGTCACAGAAACCTCAGATACTACAAAAGTATCTGAAGTTGTAAAAGAGACAATTGCTAATACATTTAATAACTGAAAGGTTTGCAAGCTATTTTGGACTAACCTTAGATCAAAGAAAGATTGTTTGCTATTGATTTACTTTATACATTTAGGGTTTAGTTGATTTAATTAATAAACCCATTTATTTTGAAAACTATTTACTAAGCAAATTCCTTCTGTCCCATGTCCCCAGCATTTCTTGGAGTAATGTTACGTACATGCTACTTCTTTTTCTTTCAGGTATGTCAGTCTGTTAAAAGACTTCGTTGAGTCTGAGTTCTTTGTGATAGATGGGGACTCCTTACTACTTATGTTTTTAGACAAGGAAACACAATATCTAGAGTTTTTCTACCAAATTGAATACTTCCTGAAGGATTTCACTGAAAAAGGAGCAAAATACATCATTGCTTTCTTCAAGGTACTGAACAACTAACATTTGTTTGCTGTTTAAGCCACTGCATTCCTTCAAAACCAACTGCTCGATTCTAATCAGGGTTAGAAAACTGTTCATCATGTCAACAAATGTAACTCAGTATTTCATTGGTTTTATTTCCCACAGGATGCAGAACAGATGTACTTTCCATATCCTCATTTTCTTTTTTTACGTACTGCATTAATAGAACACCTGAGGCATAACACAGGCACCACTGTTCATACTGAATTTTCCAATTGTTTATCATCCGATTGGGAGATTTTCCTGAAGAAAAGCTATCCTTACTTCATCATCATATCTGACATGGGACTGACCACTCTCCAAACAGACTATTTCTCTGTTTTAATTGCTCATTCATTGTCAAAGAAAATCAGTGTTGTGCTTGCTTCAGGACAGGAATATGATATTCTTAGAGTTTATGGATACCATGTTCAGAGTGTGTACCAGCACAGGTCATTTTTTCAAAAGGTAAGTTACACAAATTCATTGTTGGTTTTATATAACACTGTTAGTGGTATTTAGCAGATTTAATTAAAATATCTCAATATGATTATTATTTTTCATATTAAAATTATAAAGCACTGATAATGTGGCTCATTTTATGTTTCTTTACTCTTCTGGTCTTGAAGTCCTTAACAGGCAAACATTGTGATTGGTGGCACATTCCTGCCCTGTTCTTTATAGTCTCATTTCACACCCTTATTCACTTAAGATATGATAGTCTCACATAGAGCCTTTCCCATATCTTTAGTATCGTGTCTTAGATGACTTATAATAAGCCAGACAGGACTAGCATTTAGACCAGGGATGTGATTTTTAGAATTTTATTTAGAACCTTTGTTTCTTGGAGGCTGAGGACTGATATGTATCTGAATGTTTTCTGTTTGTGGCTAGTAGTCCCCGAGGCATTGTATCTATTGACTTTTGCATATAACTTTGACTTGTGCACTTAGTATAAACAAGAGCTGCGATGTGCCTGTGAAAACCTAGTCAGGTGCAAAGAACCATTCATGTACCTATATGGACATCTCAAGCTGAGCCTGGCAAGCATACAAAAAGAGGTAATTGGACCTCTTTGACACTTTTTCTTTTTTCTCCTCCGGTTGACTGTCTTCCTCCTTTCCTTTACCTGAAATTCTCTCCTAGTCAGAACTAGGGGCCCTCTTCCTTATCTTCAAGTGACATCCTGAGCCTGAGAAGGTCTCCTCTTTGGCCACTTTTCTTCACAGCCTCTTGAAGTTGTTTCTTTAAAGTTCACTGAACTGGGAAGGTTCAGCTGTAAGCTGAATGAATCCCATCAGTGGGATGCTGCTTATCAGTGGGAAGCTTATCAGCTCAGGCATGTGACAAAAAAGCTATTTTTACTAATAATTGTACCCACTTTTCTTTCTGTAGTTTTCATACCCTTTTTTTCTCTTCTCTGATGGAACTCTATTAAGGACAATTATAATCTTTTTCATAATTTTGATTATAGCAGTAATTTGGGCTATTCATAATGTTCTGACTACAGGTTCACCAGACTGTCTGTCTGTTGAAACAACTGTGGCCTGAAGGATCTGACATTCGGCGTGTTGTCTGTGTTCTTGCTTGTGCTGTGGGATTAAAAATATACAGCAACATGTTAGAAAATGCAAATACTTCTGTGGGAGCAAAGAAAAAGCAGTCGGCAAAGGTAAGAAATTTTTTAATATCTTTTCAGCACAGTGACCATAAACATTTTGCTAACAGGAGAGATGGCTGTCCTTCTAGATCCCAAGCTGAAGGCTGTACTCTGTACACTCCTACACTCTGTAAGTGGTCTGGTTCACATAATTACTGTGGCCACAGCTTTTCCAAAGGAGCATGTCTCTCTGTGGGTGGCACTGTGCTCTCTGCCACAGAGGCTATTCCTGGGAATGTTTTGCCTTAGGAGCAATGACTTCCATAGGAAGCTTTACCTTAGAAGGTATCTGCTGTCATTATTTTTCTTTTCCTAATGTTCAGTGGCATACTAGCTTTTACAGAAAAATACACTTTTCCTCAAGTTAGCAAGATGTTTCAGAAAAAAGGCTTCTTTGTGGATGAGGTCATGACATCATTTTTGTGACCCTACTACAAGCCTGATGTCTTCATCAAGTTAACCCAGACGCAATATGTCAGTACTATTTTATGAGTCACATATTCAGTGGGCTACAGGATAGCTGTGAATGGTTAGCACAGCTGGATTTCTCTACAGACTTTTTGCTGTGCAGTTGAGAAAAGAGCATAGGCTGACATGTAGATATCAACTTTTCCTCTTAAAATAGTAACATTTCTAGCCAGACACACTGCCTTTTTTCTTTTTTTAAGTTTTGTCTTTTGATTTTCATAGTCTTTTTTTTTTTTTAAAAGAAATTTTTTAACATTGTAACTGATTCTGCAAGAATGTTCATTTTAATGTAAGTGTATCCACAAGTAATTACAATGCACAGATTGTTCAAACAGGTCAAAATTATTAGCTGCTTAAACAAAGTGTAAACCACTTAATTAAGCAGAAGTGGGCGCAATTACGTTACTGAAGGATGTGGTGAAATTTTTATCTGTTATCTCTCAACAGGGAAGAAGTAAACCCCTGTCTCCAGAAGAAGCAGCTGACCTCTGTAGAATGCAATGTCTTACAGTGACTTTTCTTCTGCATATGCCTCTTTCGCAGAGAGCTCGGATTAGGATCATTAAATCGTGCTGGAGTAAGCAGGTTTTACCATTAATAAAAATGGTATGTGTAGCACTGTCTTACCTCACCAGTCATCAAGTCCAATTGTTATTGCAGTTTTAATTTTCCTTTATACACTACTTAGGTCATCTGCTAAGATCAAAAAACATAATGTACCTGCTGGAAACAAGCCTTACCTGGTTCAAGAATCTTGCAAGCCACAAATCAGTGGGGCTAGGAGAATGTTTGCAGCAGTATTTCTATACTTGACCTCTTCTTAGGCATCTCCAGCTAGTCAGTGTTTGTGTTAGGGCTAGATGGACCTTTTGGTCTTACCCAGTATGGGAAGTTTGATGGCAGGCCTTTTTGTTATTTGAAGTTGGTTATTACAGTGGAGGAGAGCAGTGAAAGTAGTTTCCTGATCACAGAGAAGGTCAAGTAACGCTATGTTGTTTTTCATGTCAATAAAATCTGTGGTAGTTAACCTTGTTAACTTTGCCTTGGAGATGCTTTGATCCCTCCATGTGAAAATGGTGCTCTATGAGAGTTAATTGTTTGCTTTATTTTAACAGCAACAGTTGTGTATGCATTTTGCTCTGAAACGGCTAAGTGATACAAATGATTGGAAACTGGATTTAACTTACCTCCCTGACTTAAATGATGATTCACTGCACATAAATCTTGCACATTACTATGAGGTTGAATGCACTGAAGGTATTTATCTTTGTTGAATAGTTTGCTTTCTTACATTTCTAACTTCATTAAGCTGCAAAATGAGAATGAAACTGCTTGTACTAGCATAAATGACCACAATTTTCTAATTAACCGTATGATAATGGATACATTTTATGGAATAATAGTGAAACTTTTTTCAAGTCGAGAAAATAATGTGTGAAAGTATCTTTCAAGAGTCGTCCTTCAGAATACTTTACCATGTCGTATTTTTGATGTGCCACCTGTACTTATGCAAAGGAAAAGTGATATAGCATAGGTAGTAAGAGCTCTGTTGCAATTTTATTGCGTATTCTCAACTGTTTGTTTTTTAGCCTGTTTTCTACCCATTTCATTTTGTCTTAGTGCAACACAGTCAGAACAGAAACTGGATTCCAACCCTACTGTTACTGTGACATTGAATAATAATTTCAATTTCAGATGAGATTGATTCAGATAAAATCATATATTGTCTTATAAATATGTGAATTTGGGAGCTGGAGCTTTAAGAACACCATCAGATGTGTTAAGATTCACAAAAAATTACAAAAGCTGACAGAGTAAGAATGCATGGGAAAAGATTTGTAGCAAATGTTCTTTTAGAGTAATTCTGTTTACCTGAAATCCTCTGCCATGAGTCTGTCTGTGTGTCTGATAGTAAATCAGAACACCTGCCTTATGAATCGGGTCACAAGATGTCCTGTATGTACCTCAGTAAAGCAAATGTAGAGGAATTTTTAAAGGAAATATAAATTATGAATATGAAACAGTTTCACAAAGATACCTATTATTGGGTACTAATAATTATCAATACAAGATCCTACGCTGCAGGAGGTGAAGGTGAGAGAAACTCTTCTTTAGCTGTGGAGCCTGCAGACTTCCACAGACAGTCTAAATCTGGTGTTTTTTCAAAATACATCTTCTCAGTACATTTAGTTATTAATACCATGGGCTATTAAAAACTGTGAATGTACAAATTCTGTTCTAATTACCAAAGACTTTGGGTAGGACTGAAGTCTCTCTGCCTGACGCTGCATAGGTGAATCGGTAGGTTCTATTTGAGGAAACTTAATTGTAAAGTATATTTTCTTTCTTTTTTTCCCCCTTTCTTTCTTCCCTATGCAGGATTAGAGTTCAATAGGGAAAGAAATGGAGAGTGAATACCAATTTTTATGGGGCACTGTAACAAAGTTGGCTGTGGAATACAGTATTGGAGATGCCTTCCCCATACGACAGACCACCCAACTATTTCTTGAACGGGAACAGACGTTATTTAGAGGTAATGACAATACACAAATTATTGAGTTAGAAGCATGATCTTTATTACTATCACTGCAAGTTCTTGGAGTAGTGATATGATTTTATCCTGATCACAAATCTAATCCATGCTTCATGGATCCTGTCCTCCTTCCTTTCAACCCACTCGCAAAACTTGCAGCTGATGCCAGGTAAGTCTGACCAGGCCTTAGGGATGAAATTCTGACTCCACTGTAGACACAAGTATCATTATTGACTTCAGTGGGAATTGGCTTTAGTTCCATAATTGCTAGCCCAAATCTTCTGTATGTATGGTTAAAAACATGATCAGTGTAATACATATAATAGTAAAAAAACATAATAATTATTTATAATTAACGTAACGTTTATGCTGCAGGAAGGTTGCTTGTGAAGAACATCTCTGTACATGATGGCAAAGGGTTGTCATGGGAGCAGCAAATTGAGATATAGAATTGTTACCATAATGGTAGAGAGTCCATCCATCACTGTAGCTCATATTGCAATGCCTGAAGGTTGTAGAAATGTGACTTGCCCCTAAGTGTCTTAAATTACACTGTCATTCTGTCAGTAGCCCATAACTGGGGAAGTGTGTAGTTGGCTCAGAGATTATTTGGTTTTTTCCCTCACTTACAAGACCTATTCTGAATATCTGAAAGGAGTATGTAGAGATTTTTGTGTGATGTCTGACATTTCATAGAATCATAGAATCATAGAATGGTTTGGGTTGGAAGGGACCTTAAAGATCATCTAGTTCCAACCCCCCTGCCATGGGCAGGGACACCTTGCACTAGACCAGGTTGCTCAAAGCCACGTCCAGCCTGGCCTTGAAGACATTTCTTGAGAACCAGTTTTGTTACAACCTTCAGATGCTTGTTTTAAACCTATCAAGTTGTAGAGAACTTTAGAAGAGACAGTTTGTAAGAAATTCAGTAAAGCCTGGAGTATAATTCGACCCTGTGGGTGTTCTTCAGCTGGTTTCAAAGATGTCAAGTGGGCAAAGTGGGCTCTAGTGGGCAAAAAACCCAGGTTGTTATCTGTGGGATATTAAGGCATCTTCTGGCACAGCACTTGTGTTGCCTATTTCTGTATCTTGTTTGGAGGGAAGGAAGTTGAAGATTGAAGTTGTGGCTAGACTTAAATGTGGGAAGGATGCACAATCTTACGTGTCATCTTTAGTCACCTCACGTAAGTGCAGTTGAAAGTGTGAATTTAGGGGACTGTGGTCTTTGTGGAATAGGTGCAGGAAAGTAGATGCCTGTGAGAATGGGATGGGTCGTAGCATTCAGAAAGTTAGTGTAGGTGTCTAAAATGGCTTATGAGAATATCTGCTCGGAAGCAATAATGATGTCTGCTTCATTCTTCTTCCCATGCTTTAGAAGAAACAGGCATAGGGGAACTAGTAAAATGCTGCTTATTTTTAGGAAATTTGACTTTATAGAATTTAATTTATAATGAAACTTGACAGAATTTTCAAGTATGATGTACAGTTATATATATTGTTAATGAAACAATATTAATTATTTTTTACACTGTAAAGCCTGTAAAGAAGAAATTCCTAACATTGGACTAATCTCAGTGAAATCTGATCTTGTTGAAGATTATGCTGGAGATGTTTTGAAAGATCTGCCTATTTTAGAAAGGTACATATATGTGTTTTATTTTAATGAAATAACATTATATGGGCTTATTTGCTATTGCCCTGCACTTTACATCCATATTATGCTCAGTTTGCACAAATGTGGAAGTGCTTTTGCTATGACTCGGTAAAATTTCACATTTCCCTGTATTGGTGTAAATATTAACAGAAAGGTCAGAACAAGAATGGATAAGAATCAATATATCCATATTTTCTCATAGTGTTATTTTTTTTGCATTATAGTCTTTGATTATTATTTTACATTCTGAACTGTGTTTCTAAATGTACAATTTGTATTTGAAAGGCCTTATCCTGAGTTGCAAAGCTCAGATAGATTTCAGGAAAGGAAAACATTGAATAAAAATACTGAAAGGTAATAACAGGTTATCCTTTACTTTTGCTCTGCTACTTGTGGAAATGGGCTCTCTGCTGCACAATGAGTATTTTTTAGCCAGCATGTGAGTTATGTAGTTACACTGGAATAGGCTGCCCAGGGAGGTGGTTGAGTTACCATCCCTGGAGATGTTTAAGAGACGTGTGGACGAGGTTCTGAAGGACATGGTTTAGTGGTGATATCAGCAGTTATTAGGGTAACAGTTGGACTTGGTGATCTTAAAAATGTCTTTTCCAACCTAAAAGATTATGTGATTCTATGGTTCTATTGCATTCTGTGATTAATCTGTATAAAAGTAAGTGGAAAAAGAGAGGTTTTACCTTGTTTGTTAGTAACTCTTTCTGAAAAACTGAGGCTATCCTGACACACTGTATTTGGAGTAGAATCTATGTTGGTTTTTTGCCACAGTAAAATTGTGTTTTGATAAATACTCATTTTTAAAATGTTTTGAATGCTTTATTAGAGATGACAGAAAACACTTTTAATTTCTGCTCTGTTTAATGTTTGTATATTTCAGCAATGATCCTACAGTTACTTCACTTGTTAAATATAAGAAATTTGATGAGCTTCGTCACTGGCATTCTGGCAGACCTTTGACTGAGGACTATGAGCGAGTATGGTGCAATGCTGATGGTAAGAAAAACTAACACAAAGCCCACCTGTCCATGTTGGCTAGAACAGTATTGTAAAGGTTATCGTGGTTTTGGAGAAGGACTTCTCATTTCAGAAAATATTTGCAGCTGTATAAATACTTGCCAAACCAGAGCTACTGCAGTAGCTAAATTACACTGTTGTGCCTGTGCATTACGTGTATGCATTGTGTATTATCTTAAATAGGTCTAATGAGTATAGCAGAATGAGCACTTGTGGTCCGATGTTCATGATACATTCCCTTGTGCTTGCAAAATGCTTCACAGATTTATATAAGCAAACTGTATGTACATGTGTAGTTTAATGTTTAAATACACAGTTCGGCTAATTCTTAGTAAGCACAACCATACATGTGCAAAATCTGCTCAGATGTTAGCACAGCACATGCATAGCCAACTTGATCTTGTGAGAAATGAATTAAAATATAAAGTAAAAGAAGTTTTTGTGGTTTAACCCCAGCCATCAACTCAGCACCACACAGCCACTCGCTCACTCCTCCTCATCCTGGTGGGATGGGGGAGAGAATCAGAAGGGTGAAAGTGAGAAAACTGGTTGCTTGAGATAAAGACCGTTTAATAAGTAAAGCAAAAAAGTAAAGCTGTGCACACAAACAAAGCAAAATGAGGAATTAATTCACCACTTCCCATTGTCAGGCAGGTGTTCAGAGCCATCTCCAGAAAAGCAGGGCTGCAGCATGTGTAACAGTTACTTGGGAAAACAAATGCCATCATTCCAAACATCCCCCACTTCTTTCTTCCCACAGCTTTATATGCTGAGCATGACATCATATGGTATGGAATATCCCTTTGTTCAGCTGGGGTCAGCTGTCTGGGCTGTCTCCTCTGCTAAGTTATTGTGCACCCCCATCCTACTCACTGTGGGGGTGGGTTGCGGAGCAGAAAAGGCCTTGACTCTGTGTAAGCACTGCTCAGCAGCAACGAAAATACCCTGTGTTGTTAACATTGTTTTCAGCACAAATCCAAAGCATGGCCCCATACCAGCTACTGTGAGGAAATGAAATTCTATCCCACTAAAACCAACACAGAAGTAAACATAAGCTATTTGTTTCATAATTCTTGATGTTATGCGTTATGGTTTGCTGTAATTTTTTACCCATTTGAGGCACTATGGAAAACAAACCGTGGTTGTAGCTTTGATCTCAGATTTGCATATTTACATGAAATGAATTATACAATACTGCATCTACCAGCAAGTACACAAAACTTTCTCTCAAAGACGTTTCCATCATCTGTTGCATCATACAGTGAACTGAATTATCTATCAGATAATTCAAAATACTGTTGGATTTCAGTGAGTCTTAGTAGCTAACCTCTTTCAAAATGTGATTTTGGCCTTTAGGTCAATGAGGAGTTTTTAGGAAATTTGTCCATTAGCCAGGTATCTTTTCTTGGAAATAGGTTAAGCTGGAATTCTATCAGAGTCTTTTTTTAATTAATTGCATTTGTTTGCAGCAACATCCAAAGATCCAGAAGAAAGAAGACAGATACAAAAGTTACAGACTTTCCGTCATTTTTATGGAAGCACTTTGGAAGACAGCACTTCAAAACTTATCGTACATCAAGAGGCTGTGTCAAGGAATGCTAATGCTGCTGTCAAAAAGACACAAAAAAAGCATGTGAGTGTATTCATGTTGCCCTTTCTAAATATTTTTTTCTTTTATCCAGTGAAGGATTTCTACTAGGTGAGTCCCACAGCTGAAGTTTTGTATTCTGAAGGCATTAGTAGTTCTCAGTTGAAGAAATTTAAATTGCCTTGGTACTTAAAATTTAATTAGCTAATTGGCAAAAGTACTTATGTTCCTAGATAGGAATTCTGATGAATGATTATATGTTAACAGGCACAAGTAACAAAAAACCTAGGAAGTACGAGTTCTGTAAAAGCTGATAGATTTTGTCTCATAGCCAGTATTATAATGTGGAGTTAAGGAACTGGAGTTCATTAATTTAATTTTACTTTAAGAAACTCTTGAGAAATACTGGAAAAAAACATTATTCAGTTATGTATTTCCCTGCACTATTTGGAAACATTTTCTGTGCGATATTCTGTTGATATTGCAATTTATCCTAACTACATAAATGTTGTCATACATCACAGAGTATATAGCATGTACTTGCATACTCGTGAAATATACTGAGCAATAGTAATAGAGTAATATTTCATAATAGACTGTACTATGGATTATAGATTATGGCCTGTTGGTTTATCTGTAAAAGTCTGTTTATAAAATAACCTTGTTAACTTCAAGTAAGTTGAACTAGTTTCATTTAGCTTATTGAAAAGCATCTCAATATGATCAGAATTACTATTACCCATGTATAAAATATGCTTTATACTGCCTTAAAAAGAAGCTTAGGGAAGCTCTTTTGAGCAACATATATTGGGATTCAGAGGTTGTATCTCCTTCAAAATTAAGTACAGTTTTAAAGAATTCCCAAAACACAATACATCAATCAGGTAAATTGAAAACTATAATGTACCTGCTGTGACTGAGTTTATGGATTAGTTTTTTTTAGATGATGCTTGACCACAGTGACGGTTAGTTCTAAATATCTTCCTTTGGTTGCATAGAAAAGTAAAGCGGAAATAATTGCAGAGGAAAACAACAGGCGGCTGAAAACTAAAGAAGAAAGTAAAGAACAGGAGCAATGGAGAGCCTTGAGTATACCAACTGAAAAGGAAATAAAAGCTAATCTGACTGTTGGAATAAATAAATTGGAGACATTTCTCAAGACCCTTAAAAGTAGAACTGTGAAGTTCAGCGTAGAAATGACAGGACTGTCTGCCTGTTTAGAAGTGTGGAAGGAACACTGCAGAGAGCAAGGTATGATAGCCAAACTCAGGGTGAGTATTCAGCTTCCACTCCCTTTAACCAAGAGAGTGAGTGACTTTGCACGTTCTCAGCTGGAATAAAGATGTGTAAATACAGCTCTGTTTCAGGAGCATGAAAAGTGTTTTTTAGGTATTATCAGGCTGTAGTCCACTTTTGCAATTTTAAGATCCTTTGAGTCAGCTGTAAAGTATCCAATGAAGTAAGATTGTAGCTGTTTTCCTGTTTTGCTTTGTAAACACTGCATACAGAAATAATTTATGTAATTGTGTATATCTTCAATGATTGTGTATCATGCACATTAAAATGTATCTATATTGCAGTGGGTTGTTTAATTAGCTGCGGTGGTTAGCTCACAGTCTGAATGATGACGATTTGCACAGAAATCTGCGCTACCATAGTTAGTGGCCTCCTGTTTCACCAGAACTGCCTTGTTCAGTCCATGCCCTTAATCAGAAGGGTCCAAACACACACTGCTCTAAACATGTTGAGGAGAGTTGTAAACATTGGAGTGAAATATGTTGCTAATAAGATTGAGTAAGAAATGTGTGGGTCAGGAAAGTGAAATGGGGGAGCTCAGTTATTGTGTAGGTGTCAGAAGTATGACTTCCTTTTCTAGCTGAGTGTGCAGAAGCAGACAATTATTTGGGGGCTTGGTCTTTAGTAGCACTGCTTGGTCACAGAAGTGTGGGTCATCTTCGTCTAGTTGTCTTTAAATAAAATTCATTTTTAAGTTGTCATAAATGTGGTTGGACTGATAAGGTCTGTTCTAAAAATACCTACTGTCAGAAGGCTCCCAGCGATACAATCATGTCTCTAATAACTGTAAGCTTTTTTTTAAAAGGTAGCAAATCTAGAGATTTAAGCAAAGCAGTTCAAGTCATGAGGAGAATTCACATCCTTCTTGAAAAGTATCAAGATCTCTTGGAGAAAACACATCAACAGAAGCTGACCAAATATCTAAGACTTCTTGGATTTGAGAATTTGGCATGCTCACTATCTGGCCAGGTAACTTGATAGACTGTAACGATTCTGCTGTAACTGGGTCTGTAGCTGAATATTAACAGTGTTTTCTTAAGCACTGAATAGTCTGTAGAAGATCGATATTGAGTTTATTTTATTTTGTATTGTGCCATAAGATTTGGAACCATCTATTCTTGCTTCAGATATTAATTTTTACGGTTCCATGGATACATTTCTCAGCTTGATATGAGTGGGCTGTAGCTGGCACAATAGGCCACTTCCCCTTTAGTAAATAGAACTTTATATGGCTGCAAAGATATCCTTTGGAATATGCATCAGGATTAATTTTCTCTAGTTTTGTCTGCCTGAGGCCTTAGAGATCTCTGAGAGGTACCTGCTGTTCAGTTCATCACATCGGTTGAACTCTGCTTGTTAGAAATAACTGTTAGAAGCTAAATGATGAGCAACTGCTGAAATTACATTTGAGGAAGTAGAAACGTGGGATCTGAGGACCTCAAAAAGGTCTGTTGTAAAGGTTTGTGGTGACAGAAGGGATAAATTGGCAAGTTTAATGTCTTGCTCAGAAGGGCTCTAGATAGGTCAGTGCATTTTGGACCTATTTTTGCTTTTGCTACTGCATGTTTCTGGTTTTTAGGAATAACTGAAATTTTCAGGAATAACTGAAAATATTTATTTCAAGAAATTGAAAATATTGTGAAATCTCCATCCTTGGAGACAGTAAAAACTCATTTGAACACAGCCCTGAGTGACCTGATCTGATTGCACCTGCTTCTAGCAGTGAGTTGGATTAATTGTCATCCAGACATCCCTGATGACCTAAATTATGATGTGATTTTCTGATCTTCGGGTATATATGTAACATGTAATGTTTTACTATACGGTTTTCAGGATCAGATGTTGTAACAAGATGTGTCTATGAACATTAAATTTGCTGTGTCTTAAGGTATACAGGCATTGTTTAAAAATACAATGCTTTACAAAATTTGGGATCGCAGTCTTCATACTGAATTTCCTCTTGCAACTGTGATTCATTGCACAAGGTGTCAGGGCAAGCTGAAAAAAAGAGACGTAAATTTAGGTTGAGAAGGCTTTGGCAGGCAGTAGTTTGACAAGGCTAAGCTTTGCCCGCTAGCCAGTTTTGTTAGCTCTTCGGACGTCAAAAACAACATGACCACCACCATCTACAAAGACATATTATTTTTAGAACATTCAGAACATTTTTAGAATAGTCTTCTCTGAAGAGATAGAAGCATAACCCTGACATGAGGATATATGGTGTGGATTTCTGCAGTAAATTATTTAAAAATCACCTGCACTTTCATGTTTTTCAAAGCTTGTAGAGTTCCACAGAACAAAAAATGTGCCATTTCCTTAATCTCTGGCTAGCTTTCAAACCTACTTGAATTTTCATTTGACCTTATAGACAAGAGAAAGTAATGATCAGAATACAAGCAACTATGCTGTTGAAGTGGGTCCGGCTCGCTTTCAGCTACAATACATGGATTATTACTTGCTCAGAGAAGAGAGGAATGATCCAGATCCCCGAGTGGAACATTTCATACCAGACACATGGCAGGTAATAAGACACAAACTTTTTGGATAAAGTTAATGGAAATGTTCTTTGATTTTTTCCCCATTTAAAAATACACATTATTATACTACTTGTCAAAAAGAGTGTTGTTTAACAAATCTAATTTTGTCATAAGTTTAACAAGTTCAGTAGATCATTTTTGACTGTATTCCATGTGCTTTCTACACTGAGAGCTTTACTACAGAGAGCTTGGCCCAAGGAATTCAACATAAGAAATACTTAATACATGGGATTTCACTGCTTATTATCATACTTGGTGGTGGTAACACCCCATTTAGATAATCTCTGAGTGTTCATCCTCTGCTCATTTGTTCCTAAAGAATTACCCATAGTATGAGTTGAGAAATAACTTTTCTGTCTAAAGCAGAGTAAGTCTAACTCATATTTTTTCATTATTGGACTAGGGAGGCCAGCTGAATTTGCTGCTTTGCCTGTCCATATCTGCGAAACAGTCACTTGCTTGAAAAGTAACGTGGAACTTGGCATATGTGCTGATAGAGAAAGATAGTACTATTTCTGTTTCCTCTTCTATACCCCTTCCCCCATACTTTCACAGTCCAAGATAATATGAGAGAGCATGGAGGACAACTTTTATGGGGAAGAATACAGATTAATAAATGCTGTATGCTAGGTTTGTATGCTTCATAGTTCCAAATGAAGGTTTGGAATGAAATTTTACACTGCTGAGTTAACTGGTTTTATTTTGTACTTTGAAAATGTCTTGGTTTGGACTCAGAATGTTCTGGTATCAGTATCTCAGACCAATTGATTGAAATAGGCAAGTTCCACTTTTTTCCATTAACAGTTAGGAGAAAAGATTACAGTCATAAAATGACTAGGTTAACCTCTGATTTTCTTTAGCCTAAAATGTGCACATAAAGTCTACATGGAAAAATAAGAGATGGTTTCGCAGAAAGAGCTGGTTTACTCAATAAGAACCTCATAACAAGACATTTTGACGTAATTTACCACTTTTCTCTTAGCGAGAACTTCTTGATGCTGTAGACAATAATGAGTCCGCAGTGATTGTCGCGCCCACTTCATCAGGAAAAACATATGCATCATACTATTGCATGGAAAAAGTTCTGAAAACAAGCAATGAAGGAGTAGTTGTGTATGTTGCTCCTACAAAGGTAACACTGCATCCTAGTACCTGTTCTGTATGTATGACTGTGATATTTCTTGGTATGATTCTGAAACCATTTGGGGTAGTTTGCTGCACAAATTTAGTTTTGTGGGGTTTTTTATGTTTGTGTGTTTTGTTTTGGTTTTGTTGTTTGGTTTTTTTTTAATTAGAAATGGAATCTTTACATTCTGTTTTGTATTTACATTTATTAGAAACAGCATGTTTACAAAAGAAACTTCAAAATACTTAAGCTCATGTAGAGTTCTTGTCTGTTAATATCAGTATAGCTAATTTAAGGACAGAAACACCAATATATACAAAAGTGCTACAACTAGCATGTCACAACTGATATATTTCTCAATGAACGTCCCATCCTAATAGTTAAAAATGGATTTGAGTGCTGAGACACAATGTTTTTATTTCTTCCAAAACTTATTTTAATGTCAGTGATGCAATATTCGGATAGGGAATTACATGTGCTGTTAGTCAATAACAATCTCTATGGGTTGTTTTCTGTAAGTCAGATCAATTTTTTTTGTAATTATACTCAGATTGGGCATCAAAATCATCTTTTTATTTGAATATCAGAGTGGGTGCAGAAATGTATTTTACACCTGCAGACCCAGGACTCTGAGATCATGAAAATGCTTGTAAATGCAGTAGAATGTGATCTATTTTCACCTGCTTCGAAAATAATTAAAACACAGAATTAATAATGTATCCACTTTACAAAATGTCCCTTTCCATAAACTGAATTTCTTCGAAATTTGAATATAATTGAAAATCAAGTACCATGTCTTTTAAACGTTAACATTGTTGACAGTCTACAATTAATAGTACATTACATAGTGCATTATAGTCCAGTACATCAGTATCAGTGCCAAAACTGAATGCTTTTATACGTCTTGGAATATTATATGCCTTTGGACATACACTCTCTAGTTTTGCTAATGACCTGCTTTATTTAAGGCCCTTGTAAACCAAGTGGTGGGAACTATATACAGTCGATTCACTAAGAAACTTCCAGATGGATTGGTAGTGTGTGGAGTCTTCACAAGAGATTATCGTAATGATGCCATGAATTCTCAGGTATATTTTATAGGTGTTTTAACAGATAATAATAATAATAATGACTTCTGTAGTCTGTATATCTGCCTTCTGAAAATGTTAATTCTAATTATAACAATTGTACCATAACAAAATCACAGAATTGCAGAATGCTGGGGTTTGGGAGGGACCTTTGGCAATCACCTAGTCCAACCCCCCTGCCAAAACAGCTTCACCTGAAGGAGGTTGAACAGGAACACATCCAGGCAGGTTTTGAGTATTTCCAGAGGAGATTCCACAACCTCTCTGGGCAGCTTATTCCAGTGTTCTGGCACCCTCAAAGTAGAGAAGTTTTTCTTCATGTTGAGATGGAATTTCCTGCATTCTAGTTTGTGCCCGTTGCCCCTTGTCACTGGGTGACACTGAAAAGAGTCTGTCTCCATCCTCTTGACACCCTCCCTTTAGATATTTGTCATCACTGGTAAGATATCCTGTCAGATATCCTTCTCCAGGTTAAGCAGACCCACCTCTGTCAGCCTCTCCTCACAAGATTGATGCTCCATTCCCCTGATCATCTTCATAGCCCTCCACTGGACTTTCTCCACTAGTTCCCCATCTTTCTTGAACTGGGGAGCCCAGAACTGGACACAGTACTACAGATGTGGCCTCACTGGGGCAGAGAAGAGGAGCAGCATAACCTCCCTCAACCTGCTGGCCTTGGTCATTTTAATGCCCCCTAGGATACTATTGGCCTTCGTGGGCACATTGTGAGGACTCCCAAGGTCCCTCTCTGCAGAGCTGCTTTCCAGAAGGTCAACCCCCAGCCTGTACCAGTGCATGGGATTCTTCCTCCCCAGATGCAGGCCCCTATACTTGCCCTTGTTGAACTTCATGAGGTTCCTCTCTGCCCAGCTCTCCAGCCTGTCCAGGTCTTGCTGTATGGCGGCACAGCCTTCTGGCTTATCAGCCACTCCTCCCAGTTTGGTGTCATCAGCAATCCTCCTGAGGGTACACGCTGTCCCCTCATCCAGGCCATTAATGAAGATGTTGAACAGGACCAGGCCCACTATTGACCCCTGGGGTACACTGCTAGTTACTGGCCTCCTGCTAGACTTTGTAGCACTGATGACCAACCTCTGGGCCAAGCCTTCCAATCAGTTTTCAGTTCACTTCGCTGTCTGCTCAGTTGGCCAATACTTCCAACACCTTGTCCTTGAGGATCCTGTGGGAGATGTTGTCAAAAGCCTTACTTAAGACACTATCCACTGGTCTCCCCTCATCTACAAAGCCAGTCATTTCATCATAGAAGTTGAGCAAGATTGGTCAAGCATCACTTCCCCTCAGTGAATTCATGCTGGCTGCTCCTGACGACTTTCTTGTTCTTCATGTGCTTGGAAATGATTTCCAGGATTACTTGCTCCATCACCTTCCCAGGAATTGAGTTGAGGCTGACCAGCCTGTAGTTTCCTGAGTCCTCTTTCTTTCCCTTCTTGAAAAGAGCAGTGATAAATCATTCATTCTTGCTTACCTTGAATTCAAATACGTATATATTTTTAAATGCTTTTAAAATATAGAGTCTACTTGTAGTTGATTAGTCAGTTTGCTTGAAAATAATGCTTTAAAACATTTCTTCTTAGATACTAGTGACTGTGCCTCAGTGTTTAGAAATCTTGATGCTGTCTCCTCGTTGCCAGAAATGGGCTAAACGGATACAATATGTTATATTTGATGAGGTAGGTAAATTTTAATAGTAACCAATGTAACAAATACATGAAAAATCTTGAGGAAAAATGCTGGTGACTCATTTTTTCATTACATACATTATTGCTGGCAAAAAAAAAAAACCCAACCTTTCCCAAGACTTACTTGCTTTTTCCTGTTCGCTCATACTGTTTATGTACTTGAGTGAAGAACTTAAAACTCTGTTAGTCCTCAAAAGGACATACAGTTCAGTCAAAACTACCAAGAGCTTCCTTTTATTTCTCTCAAGCCAGTCAACTGATAAACTAAAAGCCACCACTGTAGTTTCAGTGGCACAAATAGAGCATTCCACATTGGGATCATACACATTTCTTATCATAGGGTATTTGTCAGTCTTTCCAGGGAAAAAGTCGATGACTAAACTGGCTAAATTTAAAATTCCTATTGTATTCTTTCATCTATGGAATTAATTGCTAATGTTGCCAGTGAGTATGTAGGGTACAAACAGTGAATGTAGTATTGAAATTTAGACTTTTTTGCTATCCAGTTAAGTCTGGAGAGGGACTTACTAGTGTCCTGGTTTTAGCTGGGACAGAGTTAATTTTCTTCACAGTAGCTACCATGAGACTATGTTTTGGATTTGTGCAAGGCAAACAACAACTGGGTATTTGGTTTGGATCTTCTGGTCATTTGCTACAACATAAGAATTATTCAGTACTGATCTTGCAAACTTTTGATTTTTGCAAAGCAGAAAAAACTGCTGTTATGGGTACGTTTTGATAAGGAACACTTCTTCTAGTCTTTTAATCTTTTTTCCCCAAAAACATAGGTCCATTGTCTTGGCGGTGAAATTGGAGCAGAGGTTTGGGAGCATCTTTTGGTAACAATTCGATGTCCGTTTTTGGCACTCTCTGCTACTGTCAGTAACCCTGAACACCTAACTGAGTATGTATGGAATTTTCTTGCTCACAGAGCATATATAAATTGGATATGAGCTTTTTTAGACAGAGAGGTCAATTACTATTGGGAAGCAACTGATTTGGAGTTATATTGTTACATGTATTATGCTACCCTTTCTCCTCCTGTTGGCATGAAATGATACTGTAATTCTGCAATGTGAACAGGCACTACTATTCCTTCTGACATTATAATTGACCTCTGCAGAGGAATTCAGGAGGCTTTTACATCTGTTTGAATTGCCAAAGCCTGAGAAGCACGCTTGTCCATCATCAATCAGAGAAGACACCTGCATTATATTTATATATATAATGTTGCTATTTCACATTTTTTATTTTCACTCTGGGATAAGATGGATAAAATAGCACTGAAGGTAATAAGAGGGGGACTGGAAATTCTTTAGGAGAAATGGAGCAGCTTGTAATAATTCATCTACTGTAGCTGTAGCAATGTTCCTAAAATATTTTTACATCTTTTATTTTTATGTTATTCTTGCACTGTAGGTGGTTACAGTCTGTGAAAAGGTATTGGCAACGTGCTGAGAAGAAAATAGAAGGAAGCTCTACAAACTCTGAAAAGAGCTTTACAGGAAAATGTAAAGTGAAATCTAAAGTACAAGAACAAAAAAAATCATACCGTGTTAGACTAGGTATGTACCAGAATATTTTGTCACTAAGAAATAAATTTTAGTGTTATCTCTGCCAAAAATTTAATTTTGGTATGTGAAATAAGTTGATTTTTGTTTTGCTTTTTCTTTCAAATAAAAACAAATCTTGCAGGATTAAGTACTTGCTGTTTAGAACAAGCAAGTGCATCATAACAGTATTTTTGTCTCTTCACAGTCTTATATGAAGAAAGATACAATGATTTGGAGAAGTACGTGTGTTCTCTAAAGCGTGGTGATTTTATCATTGAACATTGTCATCCATGTGCTGCATTAACAGTCAGTCACGTAAGCATAATACTGGTGTCACCATGGTTTAGCAACTGTTTCATTTAGGCGACATGGATTCCATCAAAATGATTCCTTTATTTTCCTTTTGTTTAAACTCCTTGCAGATTGAGAACTATGGTTTTCCTTCAGATCTTTCTCTGTCTCCGCGAGAGACCATCCAGCTTTATGACACCATGGTAAAAGTCTGGCAAAAGTGGCCGAGGGCACATGTATGTATGCACAACTGTGGGCAAAATATATCAAAATAAATAGATAACACAGTACTGCAATGTTTTATATTAATGTTTTTTGTCAGGAGCTAGATCCTGAGGAGTTTGTCTCTTTCAAGAATAAAGTAGTAATAAAAAAGGCAGATGTGAGGAAATACGAACAGGAACTGAAGAAAGAAGTAAGGAAATGGATTGTGCATGGCCAAAGACAGAAGGTAACAGTTGTTACAGGGTGCTTTCTTAAGACTGTATTCAGCTTTAACGTAACAACAGCAACAATAGTAATAGTAACATTTCTTATATTCTTGTTATCGTTAATACGATGATGGGAGTTTCTTCTTCTCCCATAATGACTATTTATTAGGTTTAGCTGCTGCTGTACTTGAAAGATAAGCATTAACATTTGTGGCATTTCTGTAAGCATTTTCAAGGCATTGTTTTCACAAGCTTCTCTTTCTCACGAGATTTCTGATACTGCTGTGAGATTTCAATTCCTGATTCCTTTAGATGCTTCCTACAATTAGTGACAATGTTGCATCAGTGCTCTGCTTTTTTAGTCTATCTTCTTTGCTGCTCATTTGAAACCTTCTGTGTAACCACAGAGAGACTCTATGTTTCTATGTAAAAGACAGAAATTAAAGTAATGAGCAGAAAATCAAGTCCTTGACTGGAGGCCACCTGTTCTTATATCATAAAAAAGAATATGAGGAGGTGATGAATCAACAACAAGGAAAAAATAAAGAATGTGGCGAAAAACCAAATTTCTTGAAATATGACACCTACATGTGAAAATATATCATTTTTGGTATGTTAGTGATACTGTATTATTTGCACAGTGATGGTAGCCATGAATGCTACAACAGTTTGCATTCTGAGCTCTCTCCAAAGTCAGCTGATAACTTGCAGACCTTTTAGCATGTAAAATATATGTGGCTATTGCAGTTCTGAATGATTTAAAAATTTTGAGCTGATAGAAGTTGACACAGGAAAATGGAGTCTTCATATTTGTTAACCTCCAGCCAGAAGTTTCTGCCATTAAAATCTCCCCAATAATACTACTTTGGTCAGGTGAATGAGCTACTGGAGCACCTTAAGCCGAAACCTGTGGATTGCTCAGAACAGGAAAAGTGGAAGCATTTTGTACGCTTTGTTGATAAATTACATGAGATGGATAAGTTGCCTGCCATATTTTTTATGTAAGTATTTACATTCCATGTATCACGTATGTATTGCCCACGTTCAGAAAAATGGATATTGATACGGCTTTGGCAAATGTCGTGTATGTATTTGTTACCTTTGGTTTAAAACATACAAAGTAAAGGCTTACAAGTTCTATCAACCCACATATCCTTATGGCACTAAAGGTTTAGCTGAAATAAAACTGGGAGTGTTTAACTACTGTGTGGGAAGGTTAGAATCCATGAATGTTGTCTGAGAAAATTACAAGAAACTGAATGACATTAAAATGAGAATTGGATTCTCAGTCGTTTTGCCCCAGTGTCGTCAGTAAAACTTGTGGAAAGTGTATGCTGTTTATTTGGAAGTGCAAATGGTGTCTGTAGTGGCACATTTGATAGGGAAAAGGGTGGAATGAGGTTCTGTTAATTTGTGCATTTGTCACATGGTGATTGTTCCACACTGCATAGCCTCTCAGAATCTCAGCTTACATCCAGTGACATGCATTAATCAACCTGTTTTGCATATATGTAAGATTGCATAAGATGAGACTTGCACAACTTTGAGCCTACTGACAATCACAGAATTATAGAATCATAGAATCATAGAATGATTTGGGTTGGAAGGGACCTTAAATATCATCTAGTTCCAACCCCCCTGCAAAGGGCAGGGACACCTTCCACTAGACCAGGTTGCTCAAAGCCTCAACCAACCTGGCCTTGAACACTTCCAGGGATGGGGCATCCACAACTTCTCTGGGCAGCCTGTTCCAGTGCCTCACCACCCTCTCCATGAAGAACTTCTTCCTGATATCTAATCTAAACCTCCCCACTTTCAATTTAAACCCATTACCCCTTGTCCTGTCACTATAAGTAAAAAGTCCCCCCCAGCTTCCTTGTAGCCCCTTCAGGTACTGGAAGGCTGCAATAAGGTCTCCCCAGAGCCTTCTCTTCTCCAGGCTGAACAAAGCCAACTCTCTCAGCCTGTCGCCATAGGAGAGGTGCTGCAGCCCTCTGATCATCTTCATGGCCCTTCTCTGAACTCATTCCAACCAGTCTATATCCTTCTTATGTTGAGGGCTCCACAGCTGGTACTCCAGATGGGGTCTCACAAGAGCAGAGGGGGAGAATACCTCTCCCTCGACCTGCTGGCCACACTTCGCTTGATAGAGCTCAGAACAGAGTTGGCTTTCTGGGCTGCCAGTGCAAACTGCTGGCTCATGTTCAGCCTTTTGTCCACCAAATACTGCTAAAAAATAGTTCAGAGTTTTCTTTTCTTTTCTTAGAGCCGCCATGGAAAAAAACAGCCTGGCACCACTTGAGTACTCCTTACATCTGAAAACACTCAGTGGTAGAGAGAAATTAGGTCATTCAGTCTGAGCTTCAAAGGGGAAGAAATAAGAGTAAATGGCAAATTATTGTTATTGAGCTATGTCATCCATGAAGATGTGAAAAGCTTAAGTTAAAGAGAGGTTCTAGCCTTGAAATCTGTATTTGGTCCTTCTGGATAAAAGGATAAAGTCCTTCAATTTTTGCTCCTGTTCTTGGTAACTGCCAGATTTGAATGACTTGTGAATATTGTAATGGACTAGTATGCAACCTCACCCCATGTGTTGCCAGCATGGCATTAGTTAATAGGACTGCTTGCTGCAACAGGAATAAAAAAACCCACTTCTTGAGGGTGAAGCTGGAAAATTCTTTATCCCAGTTAAACACCAAACAGTACAGTACTGAAAAAGCTATGAGAAAAAACAGCTATCTAGAAGCCCAAGAAAGACAGGCACTGATTCTTAACTGAGTAATTGAGACAAAATAAAATGACTTAAGCTACAGTTTGTTTTACCTGTATGTCCAAGCGTCCAGCTTAGGGAACGGCAGAGTTGAGCATACTTTCTATAGATAATTTATTGGCAGAATCATTTTACATTTTACCACTCTGCTTTGGAATAGTAGCAGTTTGAAAGTGAATGAGGACAATGACTTGGAGTTGGAACAGGAAAATGCTTTTAATGATTAGATGTTACCTATTCTCAGATAAGTCTCACTGAATATTATTGTAACTGCATTACATATAAATGAAAACGCTATTAGGGTTCACCTAACTGATGTCTATTATATATTATTTACTTTAAGATTTAATGTGACTTCAGTGGAAGATGCAGCTAAGAATGTATTCCTCAATTTGCTGAAAAAACAAAAAAACAAACAAGACCCCAATACTGAGAGGGAAAAAGAACGTTTAAGGGGTGAACTTAGTAAAGTGAAAAAAATGCTGATGAAGTTCAACCCTCAGTAAGTATTACAACTATATATTATTGAGAAGCTTACATGTTGTGACAGAGCGTAATTTTGTGATAACTTATTTCTTGGGAATGTACCTTTCAGCAGCACATTCCTCCAGTTTGCAGTATGGTAGTTCCTGCTCCTCTTCTTCATGCTCTAGGAACCCACACAGTAGGAGCAGCTGCATGGCAGGTATCAACCGGCAGTATCTAGTGTATGGTCAGGCAGTAGGAAGATACCAGTGTTGCTGACACTGTGTGAGGTGCTGGGACTGCAACGTAAAAATCAAAGAGACAGACCTGAGTATATGAGATTGGTCATTTTGGGCTAATTCACTACTGAGATATCAAGATACCAGAATGGCTTTTTCCCCGGACAGTGAATTTTGTCATGCAACTCATAAAACCTGTGTGGCATCTGACCCTGGCACTGGGTCAGTGTCGTGGTTTAACTCCAGC